GATGGTTTGAGGTGTGTATACTTCAATGCTAGAAGTATCAGAAATAAGGCGGATGAACTTAGAGCACGGGTCGGTACTTGGAACTATGATGTTGTGGCCATTACAGAAACTTGGGTAACTCAGGGAGAGGAATGGTTGTTGGAAGTTCCGGGATTTAGATGCTTTAAAAGAAATAGGGAGGGTTGAAAAGGAGGCGGGGGAGTGGCATTGCTAGTCAGGGCTAGTATAGCAGCTACTGAAAGGCAGTTCGAGAATGATATGACTACAGAGTCAGTTTGGATTGAGGTCAGGAACAAGAAAGGAGCAGTCACTTTGTTGAGGGTTTTTTACAGACCCCCTAATAGTTGGAGAGAAGTGGAGGAGCGGATTGTGAGGCAGATACTGGAAAGGTGCAGAAGTCACAGGGTTGTAGTCATGGGTGGCTTCAACTTTCCAAATATTGAATGGAAACATTTTAGTTGTAATAGTTTAGATGGAACGGATTTTGTCCAGTGCGTTCAGGAAGGATTCCTGACACAGTATGTAGATAGACCAACACGCGAAGAGGCCACTTTGGATTTGGTGCTTGGCAATGAACCGGACCAAGTGTTAGACCTGTTAGTATGAGATCATTTTGGTGGTAGCAATCATAACTCTGTTACTTTTACAATAGTCATGGAAAAGGATAGGTACATACAGCAGGGTAAGGTTTATAATTGGGGGAAGGGTAATTACAATTCTGTCAGGCAAGAACTGGGTAACATAAATGGGAACAGATGCTGTCAGGGAAGAGCACTGTTGAAATGTGGAGATTGTTTAAGGGATGCACACTGCGTGTGCTCAATATGTTTGTCCCTAGCAGGCAGGGAAGATGAGGTTGAGTGAGGGGCCCTTGGCTCTCAAGATAGGTCGAACGACTGGTTAAGAGGAAGAAGGATGCTTATGTAAGGTTTAGGAAACAAGGAACAGAAAAGGCTCCAGAGGGATACAAGTTATCCAGGAAGGAGCTGAAGAAAGGGCTTAGGAGAGCTATAAGGGGGCATGAGAAAACCTTGGCAGATAGGATCAAGGAAAACTCCAAGACTTTTTACATGTACGTGAGGAATAAGAAAATTACCAGAGAACGGGTAGGGCCGATCAAGGATTGTAAAGGGAATTTGTGCACGGAGCCTAATGAAATAGGAGAGGTCCTTAATGGATACTTTACTTCGGTATTCACAGTTGAGAGGGACCTAGTTGTAGAGGAGGACAGTGTGAAACAGGCTGGTAGGCCAGAGGAGGTCGATGTTAGTAAGGAAGATGTACTAGGCATTTTGAGGGACTTGAAGATAGATAAGTCCCCCGGGCCTGATGGGATTTATCCAAGGATTCTATGGGGAGTGAGGGAAGAGATCGCAGGGCCTTCAGCGATGATCTTTTCATCCTCACTGTCCATGGGTATAGTGCCGGAAGACTGGAGAGAGGCAAATGTCATTCCGTTGTTCAAAAAAGGGAATAGGGATAACCCCGGAAATTACAGGCCAGTTAGTCTTACGTCAGTGGTGGGCAAATTATTGGAAAGGGCTCTGAGAGATAGGATTTATGATCACTTGGAAAGGCACAATTAGATTTGTGATAGTCAGCATGGATTTGTGAGGGTAGGTCATGCCTTACAAACCTTATTGAATTCTTTGAAGAGGTGACCAAACACGTGGATGAAGGTAGAGCAGTGGATGTGGTATACATGGTTTTAAGTTAGGCGTTTGATAAGGTTCCCCATGGTAGGCTCATGCAGAAGGTAAGGAGGCATGGGACAGGGGGAAATGTGGCAGATTGGATTCAGAATTGGGTGACCCTTAGAAGACAAAGGGTGGTAGTGGACAGCAAATATTCAACATAGTGCTCAGTTATGAGTGGTGCACCACAAGGATCTGTTCTTGGTCCTCTTCTATTTGTGATTTTTGCAAATGATTTGGATGAAGGAGTGGAAGGGTGAATTAGCAAGTTCGCAGACGACACGAAGGTGGGTCGCGTTGTGGACAGTGCGGAGGGCTGTTCTAGGTTACAAAGGGACATTGATAGGATGCAGAGCTGGGCTGAGAAGTGGCAGATGGAGTTTAACCCTGAAAAGTGTGAGGTGATTCATTTTGGAAGGACAAACTTGAAAGCAGAATATAGGGTTAATGGAAAGATTCTTGGCAGTGTGGAGGAGCAGAGGGATCTTGGGTTCATGTTCACAGTTCCCTGAAAGCTGCCACCCAGGTGGATAGAGTTGTTAAGAAGGCATATGGGGTTTTAGCTTTCATTAATAGAGGGATTGAGTTCAAGAGCCGTGAAGTTATGCTCCAGCTATACAAAAGCCTGGTTTGGCCACATCTGGAGTATTGTGTCCAGTTCTGGTCGTCTCATTACAGGAAAGATGGGGAGGCGTTGGAAAAGGTGCAGAGGAGATTTACCAGGGTGTTGCCTGGAATGGAGGGAAGATCTTACGAGGAAAAGTTGAGAGAGCTAGGGCTTTTCTCTTTAGAATGATGAAGATGAGAGGTGACTTGATAGAGGTATACAAAATGATCAGAGGTATAGATAGAGTAGACAGCCAGAGACTTTTTCTTAGGGTGGAGGTAGCTATTACGAGGGGGCATAGTTTTAAAGTGAGTGGAGGTAGATACAGGGGAGACGTCAGAGGTAGGTTCTTTACTCAGAGAATGGTCGGGGCATGGAATGCATTGCTGGAGAGGGTAGTGGAGTCGGCCTCATTAGGGGCATTTAAGCAGCTATTAGATAGGCATATGGATGATAGTATAAGGTAGGGGTGGAGGTTAGATAGATCTTAGGGTAAAAGTTCAGCACAACATTGTGGGCCGAAGGGCCTGTACTGTGCTCTACTGTTCTGTGTTCTGTGAAGGCTTTCATGGACATCTCCTAAACTATCTGAATCCTCCACCACAGAAATCACCTGCATCTTTGCTCAGTGGTGAGCTGCACATTAGCTCATTATCCCTGTGTCCAACAGGAGATGTACAAGGTGCTAGTCATGTGTCTACAGCAAATCATCCTGTAGTTGCCAGTTTCTAACTTTGTGATTGAGAAAATCAGATGAAATGAGTGCTTCTTCATTAAATCTACCGTTGTTTGTTCCCTTCAGGGTGAACCTGCATTGGCTGCCTAACGGTGTCTCAATTTAACAAAACATTCCTTTTGTCCCAAGGCTAGTTTCAATCTTCTTCGGATTTAGTGGTTAAAAGGGAAGGAGAATCATCATTTCCTGCAGTTACCAAGCAGTCAGCACAAGACAGAGGAATTGTTTAGACAATGTTACTTAATAAAGGCAGGAGGAAAGGGAACTTCATAGGGAACCCATACAAAAATATATTTTAGTACTTCTTTAATCATTTAATTAATAATTTTACATTATAAAGATGCTTCCCCATCATTCCTTAAATTTAATTTTAATATTGTAGATGTATTGGGACAAGAAATTGGTGTGCGATCAGTTTAGCTAGGATTTCGGATTTCCAGAATCTGCAGTATTTTGCTTTTCTCATCATTGTCATGTTGACAATGCAAAGTGGAACCACAAACTATGTGACCATGCCTTTTGACTGGCATCTTCAGTTGCAAAGTTCACATAATCACCAGCTCTGGAAACTAAACCATTGGTTACCTGCCTTTTGTGTTTGTGAACCGTCTGTTGTCAGATTGTAGAAATATCACTAACAGAGCGTTGGAAAGATCTAGGAGTGGAGAAATTGGGATCAGTGATGGCTTTGACAGTGAGTAGTAAAACATGATCACCAGGGCAAGTAGGAAGTACACCCTTCAGCCAACATTGTGGTCAAGTGATGACAGGCCCAAAAATTGGATTTCTAAATTGACTCATAGCCGAAGAAATCGGCTGAAAGAAAATTGTCCAAACTAAGTTAAACAGCATTCAGCAGCTATGGATTACAGAGATCAGTGGAAACCAAGATTAAAGAGGTCACAACGGTTCAAAGTTACAACTAGCCCAAGGGTTGTGTATTGAAGAAGTGTCGTTCAGATGTTCTGGCATCTTGACTGCCTGAGTATGTGCACTTTACACCTCCCGACATGGCACCCTTTTTCAGAAAAAAGGGGTCCTGACCCAAAACATCAGCTTTCCTGCTCCTCTGATGCTGCCTGGCCTTCTGTGTTCCTCCAGCTCCACACCTTGTTATCTCAGACTCCAGCATTGGCAGCTCCTACTATCTCTGATCTTGGAGGTGTGATCTGATCAAAGAATAGATGAGACCCCCTTAGCGTGCAATAAAATGTGAGTAAATATCTTCCCACTAGCCGGTCAGAAAGTAACTGTGAGTACAAAGTATTTAGTAGGGTTACACTGAGGATTATTAGCACATTCCCAGAATTGATTTAAACACCTCAAACACTCCTCTGAGCTTGGTTGGTTTTTATTGTCTTGATTGTTAAATTGCAGGAAGTCCAGGAATCATGTAAAGCCTTAAACACAAAAATCACTTTAATAAAAATCTAAATGAGCAGTTTCCAAATGTTCATAGAAGCTCATCAGCAAAAATAGGATGTCAATGTACATAGTCTAAGATCCCCTAAAGAAAAGGAGATGTTGGCAGGTTGTGTTGTTTCCTTAACTTCCTGCACCATCCCAAAATACATGAACTGTTCTCATTTAAATTTTTTCCTGTTCTTCGGCTGGTAATGTTCACCATGTTGACTGGTCTCAGAGTTAACCATTGAATGTAATGGGAGAAATTACAAATGTAAGTTTATCTTTGTACTTAAAGATTCCCTGATTTTATAGAATCTCTGCAGTGTGGAAGCGGGTCATTTGGCCTAATCGAGTCCACACCAACGCTCTGAAGGGAATCCCACCCAGATACACTCCCCTACCCCATAACTCTGGATTTCCCATGGCTAATCCACCTAGCCTGCACACTACAGGCAATTTAGCCAGGCCAATCCACCTCACCTGCACACTTTTGGACTGTGGGAGGAAACCGGAGCACCAGAGGAAACCCACACAGATACAAGGAGAATGTGTAAACTCCACACTTGTAGTCGCTTGAGGTTGGAGTCAAAACCAGGTCCCTGGTTCTGTGAGGTAGCAGTGCTAACCACTGAGCCACCGTGCTGCCCTTCTACCATCCTCCGAAAGATGAAACAGCTAAATAAAGGTAGGTGTTAGAAAACACAGCCTATAGGCTATCAGTGGGCCAAATGTAGATAGGCCAACAAGAGGCAAGGCCACATTGGATTTGGTACTGGGTAATGAACCAGGCCAGGTGTTAGATTTGGAGGTAGATGAGCACTTTGGTGATAGTGACCACAATTTGGTTACGTTTACTTTAGCAATGGAAAGGGATAGGTATATACCGCAGGGCAAGAGTTATAGCTGGGGGAAAGGCAATTATGAGGCAATTAGGCAAGATTTAGGATGCATCAGATGGAGAAGGAAACTGCAGGGGCTGGGCACAATTGAAATGTGGAGCTTGTTCAAGGAACAGCTACTGCGTGTCCTTGAGAAGTATGTACCTGTCAGGCAGGGAGGAAGTGGTCGAGTGAGGGAACTGTGTGTTACTAAAGAAGTTGAATCTCTTGTCAAGAGGAAGAAGGATGCTTATGTAGAGATGAGACGTGAAGGCTCAGTTAGGGCGCTTGAGAGTTACAAGTTAGCCAGGAAGGACCTAAAGAGAGAGCTAAGAAGAGCCAGGAGGGGACATGAGAAGTCTTTAGCAGGTAGGATCAAGGAAACCCTAAAGCTTTCTACAGGTATGTCAGGAATAAAAGAATGACTAGAGTAAGATTAGGGCCAGTCAAGGACAGTAGTGGGAAGTTGTGCGTGGAGTCTGAAGAGATAGGAGAGGCGCTAAATGAATATTTTTCGTCAGTATTCACACAGGAAAAAGACAATGTAGTCGAGGAGAATACTGAGATACAGTCTATTAGACTAGATGGGATTGAGGTTCATAAGGAGGAGGTGTTAGCAATCTGGAAGGTGTGAAAATAGATAAGTCCCCTGGGCGGGATGGGATTTATCCTAGGATTCTCTGGGAAGCCAGAGAGGAGATTGCAGAGCCTTTGGCTTTGATCTTTATGTCATCATTGTCTACAGGAATAGTGCCAGAAGACTGGAGACTAGCAAATGTTGTCCCCTTGTTCAAGAAGGGGAGTAGAGACAACCCTGGTAATTATAGACCAGTGAGCCTTACTTCGGTTGTGGGTAAAGTGTTGGAAAGGATTATAAGAGATAGGATTTATAATCATCTAGAAAGGAATAATTTGGTTAGGGATAGTCAACACGGTTTTGTGAAGGGTAGATCGTGCCTCACAAACCTTATTGAGTTCTTTGAGAAGGTGACCAAAGAGGTGGATGAGGGCAAAGCGGTTGATGTGGTGTATATGGATTTCAGTAAAGCGTTTGATAAGGTTCCCCATGGTAGGCTATTGCAGAAAATACGGCGGCATGGGATTGAGGGTGATTTAGCGGTTTGGATCAGAAATTGGCTAGCTGTAAGAAGACAGAGGGTGGTGGTTGATGGGAAATGTTCATCCTGGAGTTCAGTTACTAGTGGTGTACCTCAAGGATCTGTTTTGGGGCCACTGCTGTTTGTCATTTTTATAAATGACCTGGATGAGGGCGTAGAAGGATGGGTTAGTAAATTTGCAGATGACATCAAAGTCGGTGGAGTTGTGGATAGTGCGGAAGGATGTTGCAGGTTACAGAGGGACATAGATAAGCTGCAGAGCTGGGCTGAGAGGTGGCAAATGGAGTTTAGTGCGGAAAAGTGTGAGGTGATTCACTTTGGAAGGAGTAACAGGAATACAGAGTACTGGGCTAATGGTAAGATTCTTGGTAGTGTGGATGAGCAGAAAGATCTCGGTGTCCATGTGCATAGATCACTGAAAGTTGCCACTCAGGTTGATAGGGTTGTTAAGAAGGCGTACGGTGTGTTCGGTTTTATTGGTAGAGGGATTGAGTTTCGGAGCCATGAGGTCATGTTGCAGCTGTACAAAACTCTGGTGCAGCCATACTTGCAGTATTGCCTACAGTTCTGGTGACCGCATTATAGGAAGGATGTGGAAGCATTGGAAAGGGTGCAGAGGAGATTTACCAGGATGTTGCCTGGTATGGAGGGAAGGTCTTATGAGGAAAGGCTGAGGGACTTGAGGCTGTTTTCGTTAGAGAGAAGAAGGTTAAGAGGTGACTTAATAGAGACATACAAGATGATCAGAGGATTAGATAGGGTGGACAGTGGGAGTCTTTTTCCTTGGATGGTGATGGCTAGCACGAGGGGACATAGCTTTAAATTGAGGGGTGATAGATATAGGACAGATGTCAGGGGTAGGTTCTTTACTCAGAGAGTAGTAAGGGCGTGGAATGCCCTGCCTGCAAAAGTAGTAGACTCGCCAACTTTAAGGGCATTTAAATGGTCATTGGATAAATATATGGATGATAATGGAATAGTTTAGGTTAGATTGGTTTCAGATTGGTTTCACAGGTCGGCGCAACATCTGGGGCCGAAGGGCCTGTGCTGTGCTGTAATGTTCTATGTTCTATGTTCTAATAACAAAGTTTGAATATTTGTTTCTGTCAATGGGGAAAGAAACTTTCATATTTCAGCAATGTATATAATTGATGTATATAATTGACTCACTTCCATTCGGGTGATTTTGAATGAGATTGCAGCAGAATACACTCTTGGAAACGGCACAATTCTATCGAATTAATCACTACATGGTACAGGGAAGACACCTTATCGAACCAGTCTTTTTCAGTCACCACACCAACTTCCGAATTCGGTCAATAAAATGCAAGAATTTAGATCACGTTGACTCACAACAAGAGGTTTGGGTATCAGGTTAAATTATTTAAAGCTCTTGAGAAATGTGCAGATAGCTCAAGTGAATTCAATTTGTTTTGCATGAAAGGAGTATTTAGTCAGGAGTATTTAGTCGGTTCTTGAAATATCAAGCTACATACTAACTTTGTAACAGAGGCAGTTACAAAATGTACTAAATACTTACACAAGTTATAGAAATATTAAGTGCATCTCATATATAGTTCTTTGGCAGTAAAAGCTTTGGATGTAACAATGTGAGAAACAATTCCATGTTAAAAAAGGTCGAATTAGGGAAATTCAGCTGAAATTGTTTTTACGTGGTTATGATGTGGTTATAGTTAAAGGTCAGTCATACTCCCAGGATGTTGTGAGAAGGCAACAGCCAATGAACTGCATTGTCAGCTGCTATGAAAGCATTAGTGGTGCCACACAAGAAGCTGCCTTAAGAGAATATTCTATGAGTTTGATTTTATTACATTTCTTTCATTTGTTTATTGCTTCTGCTCTTGAGATTCTGTGCATGTTCCAATAATGCTCAGGGTGACTCTTACTTTATCTCTGTTATGAAAGAATTGGTTATACTAAAGTGAAATACTTAACCAGAAGGAACAAGTTCAACTTATTGTGCATCCACGGACAAAAGGAACAAAGTAATTTACTTTCCAAAATGTAAATTGCCCATGATGTTTCTTTATCATGTGGCACAGTAATGGTTACATCAAGCTGGTCTATGCTCAACCTTAGAGGCTTGTCGGGAGGTGATGGCCCTGTGGTATTATTGCTAGGTTTTTTTAAATCCAAAGGCACAGGTAATGTTCTGGGGAACTGGATTCATTCCCCACCATTGCAGATAGTGGAATTTGAATTCAAAACAAAAAATAATCTGAAATTAAGAGTCTAATGGTGACCATGAAACCATTGCTGATTGTTTGGGAAAAACCCACCTTGTTCACGAATGTCCTTTAGGGAAGGAAACAGCCACACTTACCTGGTCTGGCCTACATGTGACTCCAGACCCACAGCAATGTGTTTGACTCTTAACTTCCCCCTAAGTAATGAATGCCCACAACCCACAAACAAATAAAAAACAACTCTTTAAAAAAATGAACTTTTTTCCTCCACTTGTGGTCTGGAAAATGTCATAAATATTATAAGTAGTTGCCTTGAGTATTCACTTGGCTGTGCCGGCTCTTTTGCAAAAATCACCCGATTATCAGCCTAACTGGCACAAGCAATGATATTTAAGTTGCATTCATTGCAAATCAGATTTTGCTTTGCATCAATCTTAATTTAAGGATAGGAGCAGGGCTGAATCAATCGTCATTAAGAGGTTGCATTATTAACACACATTTGCAGGAAATTCTAAAGGTTAAAGCAGAACATTTGGTGCAATGACACTAACTTGTATGTTTTGAAAGATTTTGAAATTTTTCTCCACTGAGAAACTATATTTTGGCTTCAACTAGATCTGCAAGTTAAATCATTAAGTAATTTAAAATTGGGTGATTGGCACTGCTTTAAATTCTATATTTTTGTGTAAACTCTAAGCTTATCAATCTTTATCTTTTACAAAAAGGTTTTTATTTGCAAAACTATACATTATTCATAAAACAAAGTTACGTACATACACAGTTACTGAAGCATTTCTGTACCGTATTTGCACATGAAGAAGAAACACACTTTGGAACAAAAACAGAACACAGAACATAGCACATAAAACATTACAGCGCAGTACAGGCCCTTCGGCCCTCGATGTTGCGCCGACCTGTGAAACCAATCTGAAGCCCATCTAACCTAAACTATTCCATTATCATCCATATGTTTATCCAATGACCATTTAAATGCCCTTAAAATTGGCGAGTCTACTACTGTTGCAGGCAGGGCATTCCACGCCCTTACTACTCTTTGAGTAAAGAACCTACCTCTGACATCTGTCCTATATCTATCACCCCTCAATTTAAAGCTATGTCCCCTCGTGCTAGCCAGCACCATCCGAGGAAAAAGTTGCTGGAAAAGCTCAGCAGGTCTGGCAGCATCTGTGAAGGAAAAAACAGAGTGAACGTTTCGGGTCCGGTGACACTTCCTCAGAACTTTTTACAACATCTGCAGTTCTTTCAGTTTTTAAACATACTTTGGAATTTGGCATTCCCCAAGAGGATCCAATGACTGAATAGACCCCCATTGTACTTTGGCCGAAAGACTTTAGATGGTGGTCTTTCCCTACTGTGCCTTGGAGGCAGCTGCCCCAAGCTTAATGGCGTCCCTCAGCACGTAGTCCTGGACTTTGGAATGTTCCAATCTGCAACACTCAGTCAAAGTCAACTCCTACCACT